ACATTAGAACCAGTCTTGGTACCAGAGACCTGGCTGTCAGTGCTACATTCCTTCAAGTGTCTGTCACCGCCAACATTTTCCAAAACAGCATAATTGTTTAAAATGGGGATTGCCATAAGAGACTCCTGCACATTCTGCCATCCTCTCCTACCTTTCCTGAAGGTAACCCGACTGTATCTGTGTTTTTCTTCCTCTATTCTTGCAACTGCCATCTATCACACACCCTAGCTCCTGTAAATTCCTCATTGCCTCTAACTGCTGTTCCAACCGATCCATGTGATCTGATAGGGTTCACAAGCAAACACACTTGCTGTAGACATAATCATCAGTAACATGGAAACTCTCCCTAATCTCCCATGTCAGACCGGAAGAGCACATCAAAGGCTATTTTCACAACTTAACAATGTGCAGACCCAGAACATGGCATAGTCTTGCTGCTCTTAAAAAATACTGCACCAGGCTAACTTGGTACGTATGTTTTATATTTTATAAAGTTTAATCAAGGGACAGATCTCATTAATAACATATAATAAAAAAAAATCTACTCACTATGATAGATTTACAAAAAAAAACAGTAAGGTTACCCTTTTAAAAACTAGCCACTTAGCTGTTTCCCTGCTGTGAGCTCCCCAACACTGGTTTCTCCAAGGGAGCTGTGAATTTTTGACAAGGTAGATGTGGAGAGGCTGTTTTCCATTGTGAGAGAGTCTAGAAATGGGTAATCTCAGAACGTGGGGTTGCACATTTTAAGACCGATATGAAGAGGAATTTCTTCTGAAGGTTGTGAATCTGAAATTCTTTACCACAGAAGTTTGTAGAGGCTGGGTCATTAAGTAAATTCAAGATGGAGAGAGACAGATTTTAAGTTCCATTAGAGAATCAAGGGTTACGTGGAAAACGCAGGAAGCTAGAGGTGAGGATTATCAGATCAGCAATAATCTCATTGAACAGTGGAGCGGCCTCTTTGGGCTACATGGCCGACATCTGCCACATTTTATGATCTTATGGACCTCCTACAAGCTACATAATCTTACCACTGTGTTTGGATGGCCCTGGCCACCAGATGTCAGTTGACATCAGTCATCAGGAAATTACTGGTATCTATTATTGAGGAAGTCTGAATAAATACACTTAGAATTAACATAGTTTACAAAATAAAAATTGCATTTAAACAACTTATAGTTTTTGAGCTTGTAACTTCTAGGGTAGATAAATGGAATCAGTAGATGGAATCAACTTGGTTATTCTTAAAGTATTTGATAAGGTACCGCCGAAAACGTGATTGTGAAAGATAAAGGTCAGTGAAGTTGAGAATAATATATTAGCATGGATAGAGGGTTGGTTAATAGCTGGAAGCAGAGAATAGGAACATATGGTGTAAATAGTTTTAATCTGTGTTCGGACATGTTATGACACATTTCTGGAGCAGGTAGGACGTGAATTCAGTTGTTCTATTTTCAAGTTGACTGTCTATAATTAGTGGAGTGGTGAAAGTATGAGTGATGGAACCTCAGCTGTTTAAAATCTATTTTAGTTACTTAGACAATGCTGCTAGACAAAGTGGGGCAGCATGTGGCTCTGGTTAGCACTGCTACCTCACAGCACCAGGGACACAGATTCGATTCCAGCCTTGGGTGAGTATCTGTGTGGAGTTTGTGCGTTTCCCCTGTGCCTTCATTGGATTTTGCTGGGTGCTTTTGTTCCCTTTGAAAATCCAAAGGTGCACAGGATAGGTGGATTGGCTGTGCTAAATTGCCCTGTAATGTTGAGGAATATGCGGTCGGTGGATTAGTTGTGATAAATGTGGAGTAATTGGGCTTGAGTTGGGGCGGTGGTTCAGGGCCTGGATGAGAAGCTGTTTGAAGTGTTGGTGCAGATTTGATGGGCTGAATGGCCTTTTGCTGCACTGTAGAGATTCTATGATTATTGTGGTGTAGTGATAGTGTCCCTACCCCTGAACCAGGAGGCCTAGGTTCAAGTTCAAGCTGTACAATAACATCTCTAAAGAAGTTGAAATAAAGTACACACCTCTGGGCCCGGAGGCCTGGGTTCAAGCCTCATCTGCTGCAGATATGCATTGTAGCAGATCTGAATGGATTGATTAAAATTATCTAGATAAAGCAATGGGGCTTTTGTGGTGGTAGTGTCCCTACTCTGAGCCAGAAGGCCCTTGTCCAGCTTCCACCTGTTCCAGAGGTGTACAATAACATTTCCGAACAGATTGATTAGAAAATATCTAGACAAAGCAATGGAAAATAATGCAGTAACATTTTGATGAATATAATGATAAATGGGAAAGTATAAAGCTATGGGTAGAGAAACAAAGGGGCTGCAAAGATACGCAGATGAATTAAAAGTGAAACAGACTGAAGTTTGAAGTTATTCACTTTGGAATAAGAATGCCAAGCCAATATTTTTTAAAAGAAAATCTTGATGTTCAGAGAGATTTGTGTGTACTTGTAAAAGGAACATGCAAAGATATAATGCAGAATGCAGCAAGCAGTTACAGGGAATGAGATATTGGTCTTTACTGCAAGAGGACTGGAGTTGAAGAGCATGGAATCTTGCTACGATTAGAGTCAGTGATTCTGGGCGGCATGGCAGCTCATTGGTTAGCTGTCTTGCAGTGCCAGGGATCTGGGTTTGATCCCACCGTCGCGCAACTGTCTGTGCGGAGTTTGCACGTTCTCCCTGTGTCTGCATGGGTTTTTGCCAGTTGCTCTAGTTTCCTCCCATGGTCCAAAGATATTTGGGATAGGTGGATTGGCCATGCTAAATTACCCATAGTGTCCAGGGGTGTGTAAATTCGGTGGATTAGCTATGGGAAATGTAGAGTTACAGGGATGGGTCTGGGTGGGATGCTGTTTGGAAGGGCAGTGTGGACTTGTTGGGCTGAGTGGCCTGTTTCCACACTAGGGATTTTCTTCTATCTATAAACAATAGGTATTTGTCAGTTTTTGTTTAAACACGTTTATGAAATTCCTCTGGTATGAATGCTGCTGGGTGTCTACAAGACTGAGAAAAATTTCCAACATAGCCCTTTAGCAACTTTGCCAAAATCTTGAATCACTGCTCCCTAATTCTTGTAGCACCACCTAATGTTGAACAATTTTTCCTTGTCTATTTAAGCATGTCATAATCTTGGATGTTTATCAAATCTTCCCTCAATCACTTTTGGTCCATGGGGAACAATCCCAGTTTCTCCAAACTAACCTTGTAACCTTAAAACCTATCAATCATACAACTAATCTGATAAATCTCCTTCCACCCTCACAATGGTGACCATAATGCCATGCTCTGTTTACGTCCTAACAAAACCTTTATATTGGCTCAGCATAACATAATGCCTCTATTTAAAAAGTCCAAGATATCATATGCATTGTTAATTGATATGCCCTGCCACTTTGATAGATCAATGCACATAGACCTGATGGTCTGTGTGCATTAATCTATGAAAGTCCCTGTGCAAACTTTAAAACTGTGCCATTAAGTCTATTTGTCACTACACTATTTCTTTGGTCAAAATGTAAAACCATGCATTTCTCTAAAATAAATTTCATCTGCCACTTGCCTGTCTATTCTGCTAGCCTTTCTATGTGCCATTGCAGGTGATTTGTATCATCCTCACTCAGTGCTACAGTTCCATGTTTAGTATCTTTGACATATTTCGAAGTTTTATTCCATATTTGTGGATCCCTATCATTTATATATGGCAGTAAAGAAGTGCCTCTAGCACAGAGCTGTCATGAACAATGGTGTTTATCATCCCATAGACTGAAAAATAACCATTTGCCACAAACTTCGAGTTTCCTGTTCTGAAGCCTACTTCTCCACACACCCCCAAAAAATATGTGGTACATTGCCCTGCCTATTCCATAAGCCTTAGTTTTGTTAACCAGCTGCCTTTGTGGTAACTTGTCAAACACTTTCTCACTGTTCATATAGACAATACTCACTACATTCGCCTTCAACCTTTTCAATTACTTCAACAATTCATCTAGATTAGTTGAGCATGATCTGTCTTTACAAATCCTTGCTAACTACCCAAATTAGCTCAGACTTCTCCAGGTGTCTGTTAATTTTTCCCTTGATTGTTTCTAACACCTTATCCACTATTGATGTTTAACTAATAGATCTTTATTTGCAAGGATAGTCCCTGCATGCATTTTTGATTTGGGTGTACCATTTTCCAGTCCACAATCCTCTGGCACCTCCTCCTTTTCTGAGGAAAATTGGAAGATTATGGTCAGCCCTTTCCTGATGTCCACCCTACCACCCTTCACACCAAGATGAAAGCCATATGGTCCAAGTGACTGAGGTAACAAGGTGTAGAGCTGGATGAACACAGCAGGCCAAGCAGCATCAGAGGAGCAGGAAGGCTGACGTTTCGGGCCTAGACCCTTCTTCTGAAATGGTCCAAGTGTCTTATCTTTAAAGCCAGTTTTTCTTAGTACTACTTCTCCCTCAGCTTTCTCTCCATGTATTGTCTCCACTGATCTCTACTGTCATTGATATTTTGTCAGTTCTTTCTCTCAGAAAATGCCAGTATAAAGTACACATCAATTTGAGGCATTTCATCAATTTAGTCCATGCCAGCTCCTTGCAGAACAATCAAATCATTTCCATTCAGCCACTCTATCCTCCTAGTCCTGCAAGGTTATTTCCCTCATGTTCTATCCATTTCCCTTTTTGAAATTACTTAATGTCTAAGCATTAATCACCCTCACCAGCGGAGTTCCACATTAATTATATTCAGTATATTTAAAAAAAAAAAAAAAAAATTTCTTCCTTACATGCTCACTTCCTCATTTACCCAAGTTGTTAAATGTGTGTCCCTTGTTCTTACTCCATGGTTAATATGATTTGTTACCTTAACTACTAATCTTGTTCTAATCTTGCACACTTTTAACAAATCGCCCCTCAATCTCCTTTCACAAAAGAGAACAACCTCAGCTTTTCCAATCAAACCTTTAATAGCTAAAATAAATGTCCTACTGCAGGTGATTTGGTGTAGCCCTTGGGACTTATTGGCAATAAGTCAGTAAGGACCGCAGATGCTGGAAGATAGAGTCAATAAGCATGGAGCTGGAAAAGCACAGCCGGTCAAACAGCATCCAAGGAGCAAGAAAGTCAATGTTTCGGCCGAAACCTTTCATCAGGATTAGAAAACTTCTTCAAGGTGGGTATCCTTAGAAGAAACAGGGTGGCACAGTGGCTCAGTGGTTAGCACTGTTGCTTCACAGCGCCAGGGACCTGGGTTCAATTCCACCCTCGGGTAACAGTCTGTGTGGAGTTTGCATATTCTCCCCGTGGGTTTCCTCCAGGTGCTCCGGTTTCCTCCCAAAGTCCAAAGATGTGCAGGCTAGGTGGATTGGCCACGCTAAAATTGCCCGTAGTGTTCAGGGACATGTAGATTAGGTGGGTTATGCAGGATTGGTATGGGTAGGATGCTCCGAGGTTCGGTGTGGATTTGTTGGGCTGAAGGGCCTGTTTCCACATTGTAGGGATTCTATAAACTAATAAAGTATGGTTTTCCGCAACTTGGAGACAGTAAGGACTGCAGATGCTGGAAGCTAGAGTTGATAAACGTGGATCTGGAAAAGCATAGCTGGTCAGACAGCATCAAAGGAGCAGGAAAGTCCATGTTTCGGGCTGAAACACTTCATCAGGACTTCCTGGCAACTTTGAATTCCTCCTTCCTTAAAATCAATGTCGCATAAAGCAGTGGTCTTAATGTTTGGAGACCATCACTGTTTTCCACTCTGAAAAACAAGTTTGGGAATAGGAGGATGCTAGTGCAGAATTTGAGATGATGGACTGTGAATTTCTTGAGCAGATTGAAACAAGAAGCCAGGAAGTATTGGAGATTTTGTTGAGGTTTTAAAAGTGGACAGATCCTCCGTCTACTGTCGGAGACTAAGGAGGAAGGGCTCTGACCTACATTTTTAAATTGCCTGTGGGCTCAGGGGAGGTGCCAGAAGTTTGGAGCACATCTAATATGGTTCCACTTTACAAGAAAGATAGTAGAAATAGATCAGTGAATCTTAGATCAGTGAATCTTAGATCAGTGAATCTTA